AACATTTAATATATAAATTGTGAACATTTAGTATATAAAATTGTGAACAATCAATATGTAAATTGTGAACATTCAGTATGTAAATTGTGAGAATCAGTATGTAAATTGTGAACATTCAGTAGGTAAATTGTGAACATTCAGTATTTAAGTTGTGAACATTCAGTATTTAAATTGCGTATTTTTGGACCCGGGTCCACATAATAATTTGCATCACCTTGCAAGGTGAATCCTGATCCTAAATGGTGTGTTTTTAGTATTGAAATTGTGAACTTCTAGAATATAAATTGTGTTTCTAATAAGTTTTAATTTGAAAATTTGTAAATATAATACATGGTTATCACAAATTGTAAATTTTTAAAAGTTAAATGGTATATCTTTGGATTCGGTCCACAGAATAATTTGCCTCCAGAACCCCATCACAATATTCCTTCCCCCCCCCCCCCCCCCCCCCCCTAAAGAAGAAAAATGCTTTATTCCCCACCTAAATTTCCCTTCTATTATTTTTTTTTTTATCATGATGTGGCTTCCATTAATTTGGTGCCATGAATTTGTAACCCACCACTAATTAAAAATAGAAAAATACTACTTCTACTCTCAAACTCTACTTACAACTTTTACTTTTTCACACAAAATTTTGATGTTGACATTTTAATTCATTGAGACCCATAGAACGAATTGAAGATAACTTATCATTCTTTGTCATATTATAAAGTAATTAAAAGTGAGAAAATAGAAATATAAAGTACATGTAGTACGACTCTTAAAAAATAGCATTTCGTCACCAATTAGATATTGACATATCATGAGAGATGGATTGAAGGGAAAAAAAATATGAAAGTATTTAGCATTACTCTTTAAACAATTACATATTTTTCTTTTTCTTTGTATAAAGATAACAATATATTTTAGGATAGGCATGGGTAGAGACTTAGGGGTGAGTGTGGAGCAAATTTTAGGGTTAATTCACATCTCATCCACTAAAGGTGATTTTGAAAAATCTCATTCGCATTCTCGTTCGCATATGCAAATAGTGTAGATCTAATATGATATGATATGATCTACTAATGGTAATTAAGTATTATAGTATCAGTGACAATATGGGGCAAGAAGTATATATGCCAACATTTATTGCTATTATATTTACGAGAAACAATGCATATTTTCATATCTTGGGTTACAAAATACACCATATAATCGAATGATCAATGAGTTAGGTATTATATGAGTGTATGACTATTATTGTGATACGTGCTATGTACTTAGGCTATTGAAAGACCACAAAGAATATGTTGTCGATATTAATTTTTAATTAACTTATACACGCACGGAGGAGTACTTGGCAAATGGTAACCTTACCTAACATTGTACATTCAAAATTTCAAACCATAAAACTCATGCAACGTACGTCACGCTATTAATTGTTTGATTGCTTCGCATGTGAAAAATTATTGTGTGGACCATAAATATCAGGTACATTTTTAATATATTAAAAGTATATTATTTTTGTACTAAAAATACATTATTTTTATACTGAAGGTACATTACAGGCACGGAGAAGTAGTTGGCAAATGGCAACCTTACCTAACATTGTACATTCAAAATTTCGAACCATAAAACTCATGCAACGTACGTCACGCTGTTAATTGTTTGGTTGCTTCACATGCGGAAAATTATTGTATGCACTATGAATATCAGGTACATTTTTAATATATTAAAAGTACAGTATTTGTGTACTGAAAGTACATTATTTTTGTACTGAAGGTACATTACAAGCACGGAGGAGTAGTTGGCAAATGACAACCTTACCTAACATATTGTACATTCAAAATTTCAAACCATAAAACTCATGCAACGTACGTCACCCTATTAATTGTTTGGTTGCTTCGCATGTGGAAAATTATTGTGTGAACCATGAATATCAAGTACATTTTTAATATATTAAAAGTACATTATTTTTGTACTGAAGGTACATTATATAAAATATTGTACCCTTAGTATATTAAAAATGTACTTTAAAAAAATATACCTTACGTACATAAATAACGTACCCTTAATATATTAAAAAATGTACTTTTTATTTATGGTCACACAATTATGTGGAACATAATCCATGTAATAATGATTGTCCACATGCTTACACTTAAGATTTGGTTGGGCTATACTTGTTTTCAAACTATTTATTTTATTTTTATTTTTGTTGACATAACATGACATACTCGATGCTCCAATTCATCTATAAAAAGGGGGAGGGGAGATTAAGGTTGGGGTAACCCTTTCAAGTTGGGACAGTTGGCTTGATAAGTGATAACTATAATAATTTTTCAATTTTTAAATTTAACGCTTTTCTATCTGCTTTGTTGGCCTACTTAATTTACTTTCATGTGATTCTTTGTCAACTAGAATTATAAGACGGGTTCAGGACTACAAGTTTATTATGGATTCGTTTTTTTTTTTTTTTTTTGCGTTTTAGTTTCGGTCCTTCGTGTTTTAAATATTTTAGCTCATTCTTTGGCCACTAAGACGTTTACTCAGGATGGATCTCTGTATTGGGATACTATCCCGCCAGACTTTCTTTTGATGCATTTGCAATGATATTGATTCGAGTTTTTGGCTTTCAAAAAAAAAGAATTATAAAACAAATTTTACTCAAAAGTGTATCTTCCTATAAAAAGCTCATGTTTTAAAATATATCTAACAATTTCGATATATATCACAAAAAGCTCTAACTATTATTGTTTTTATTTTTTTGTCAACACCGTACCCCTTCAATTTTTTTATTTTTTATTTTTGTCAACACGTAAACTAGCTAGGCCACTTGCCATTCTTATTTTCCGTTTTGATTACGTACCCGTGCATCTTATTGGAATTCAACGAGAGGAGTAAAACATATATATGAGTTCGATCTTTTATATATATATATATATATATATATATATATATATATATATATATATATATATAAATATATATATATATATAATCGCACTCAGGTGCGAATGTTTCGCCCAAGCGCGAAATAGGAATAGATTATGTCCGTCCACGTGTCCAGATCTAATGGATGAGAAACACATATTTTTTTTAAAAACGCGGTGGCATTTACGTAAATAACTGAACATTGAAGTGCAAGTAAAATGTATTACAAGTGCATGTAAAATGTATTATAGGTGCAAGTAAAAATTTACACTGAGCATCAATACTTAGTTGCACCTATAGTTCTAAATAGTTGCACCTATAGTTCTAAGTAGTTGCACAAATAGTTATAAGTAGTTGCACCTAGGTTTATGAATGTTTGCGAGTGGTTTTCAGGGCATTACTACCCGCTGAATTCAGATCAATGAATGTTAACAAGGCAAAATTACATACACTTATAGGTGAAAGTAGGTGCACCTATAGTCAGGGACGGAGGCAGAGGGGGCAGGGGGGTCAGCTGCCCCACCTCACCCCACCCCCACCCACCCCTATCTAATATGTATATGTATATATAGTATATGTTTTAGTATTAGTATAAAAAAATTAGTAAAAGTTAACAAGTAAGGAGTTAGATTAGTTGATAGAGCATATCTTTGGTAATATTTAATACACACACACACACACACACACACACATATATATATATATATATATATATATATATATATATATATATATATATATATATATATATATATATATATATATATATATATATGGATTTTCCAGATCGTCCATACTCTTCTGTGGAACATGGCTTTGTGTTGATTAGCTTCAGAAGGTCCTTGTGTTGCGTTTTGGTTGATCGGAGACGCCAGATAAATTCCTTGACTCGATTCACCGGAGCCGGTAAGCGCGGCGGCATAGCTACCATACCGCAACTCTGATACCATAATGGATTTTAGGAGGGAGAGCTTGCGTGAGTTGATGTATAGAAAGACATAAAGGGAAACTGTTTCATTAGCTTTACAGAGATGATGAAAACAGGTATATATACAGAGGTGGCTCATGAAAGTAAAGTGGCGGCAATGGAGGTTATAACCGTTTTGGTGAAAGTTCAAGACTACCCCTGCTTATGTATTAGCTTGCCCAGCCTGCCCTTCTTGTTTCTTCTCCAATAAAATAAACTCCATTTTTATATATATATTTTTTTTGAAGAGAACTCCATTTTATATAACAATGCACAAACCACACATTAACAAGTACATATATTTTCTTTGGATAATATAGTTTAGAACGTGCAGTGTGCCTACTCATTTAACAGTTTATTTTTCTTTTTTAAATAACAATTTCAATTTGAATAATCCGCCCATGTTTCAACATTTTGGAGGTCTGAATTTAGATGCGTATATATAAGTAATATAAGAGTTGGAGAGTCAGCTAAGTTATCGCCACATATATATAAAAAAAAAAAAGGTTAAATTTCAGAAAATTCTGAAATCATTTTTGCGTGAAACAAACATTCGTATAAATATAGCAAGAAGATTAGTACGTAACTACGTACTAAGAAAGCATAATATTATAAATTAAAATTCAAGCAACTTTAATTTTTTTTTGTTTGACGATACATTAAATATCTCAGCTTAATTAAGTTATACTAATCCTAAGTTTCCAGAACCCTACTCAATGACAGGAAAGGAGACACTTACTTAATATTTAGTTTTCACGGTACCAATGCTTATACACTCTACGCACAATAAATCTTCATTACTTTTGAGTCCATTTTTTAGACTTTGAATCTCCCCGTAACTATCATTCCGTGTTACGGTGTAGTATCCGTCTAAACATACTTTTTCAATTTAATGAAATACAAAGAATAATTATCTTGTGACTTTTCATTTAGGAGAGTGGCTGGACCACAAGGTTTAATTTTTGCAATTATCTTCTTGATATGATTTAGCTAACTTAAATTTGATTTTTCTTCCCACACGTGCATGGTAGCTGCAACTACAAAATCTAAGACTTTCGGTTCAAACATGCAACTATATAATAAGCGTTACCCTGCAGACCTTCATGCACTGTAACACAAGCTAAGCTAGAAAATGGCGTCTCTTCCGATTGCCACTACCACCATCCTCCATAGCAGCAATAGCTCTCCTTCTTCCTCATTCGTTCCAAGAACGCCGCAAGTTTCTATAAATAGAAAGAGCTCATATCGTCTGCATGTGTCATGCAACGCCGGAAAAGATGACAACCAGCCGTCTTCTTCTCCCGGCAAGTTTGACCGGAGAAATGTGTTGATTGGGCTTGGTGGATTATACGGTGCGGCGAGTCTAGCCAATCCGTTCGCCTTTGCGGCGCCCATTAACGGGCCGGACATCTATAAATGTGGCCCCGCGGATTTGCCGGAAGGCGCCGATGGGGTAAACTGTTGCCCCCCGACCGTCGCAAAGATCATCGACTTCGAACTTCCGCCGCCGCCTGCCGCCATACGCGTCAGACCGGCGGCTCATTTGGCAGACAAGGCGTATGTCGAGAAGTTTACCAGAGCCGTTGATCTCATGAAAGCGCTCCCCGCCGACGATCCCCGGAATTTCATGCAACAAGCTAACGTCCACTGCGCTTACTGCGACGGCGCGTATGATCAACTCGGGTTTCCCGACCTGGAGCTTCAAGTTCACAGCTCGTGGCTGTTTATGCCCTTTCACCGATACTATTTGTACTTCTTCGAGAGAATACTGGGGAAACTGATCGGCGATCCCACCTTCGCCATGCCGTTTTGGAACTGGGATCACCCCGCCGGAATGCAAATTCCGGCCATTTACACCAACCGGAGCTCGCCGCTCTACGACCCTTTGCGCGACGCGAAGCACCAGCCGCCGACCATTATTGATTTGGACTTCAACGGAACGGATTCCAACCTTAGCAATCAGCAACAGGTTTCTCAGAATCTTACTATAATGTATCGACAAACCGTGTCGCTTGGACGGACGGCCAGTACTTTTCTTGGAAGCCCGTACCGAGCCGGCGATGAACCGGATCCCGGCATGGGTTCCCTGGAGACCGTCCCACACGGCCCGGTTCATATGTGGACCGGGGATCGAACCCAGCCGAACATAGAGAACATGGGGAACTTTTACTCCGCCGGAAGGGACCCGTTATTCTTCGGTCATCATTCTAACATCGACAGAATATGGAACATATGGAAAACCATCGGCGGCCGGCGGCAAGATTTCACCGACCGGGATTGGCTTGAAGCGTCGCTCCTGTTTTACGACGAAAACGCACAACTCGTGCGCGTTAAGGTCAGTGACATTATATTTATTCATGTTTTTTCATTAATAATAAGGATAAAGATGGGAAAAAAAGTTAGGAAGCTATGAGCTTATTTTAAAGTAGTGTTTTAAAATAAATTTTTATTTTAAACTAGGAGCTTATTGTGGGAACATTACAAAACAGAGCTTATAGTTTATTAGGAGTTTAAAATAAGCTATAAGCTCCTAAATAAGCTCTGCCAAACAGAGCCATAATATCTATTGCAATTCATTTTATTTTATTTTTTAAATTTCTATTTTCTTTAAGAGAAAATTTTTTCTGTCTTTAATCACAAATTGCATATTCTGTTGCGTTAAGGTGAGGGACTGTTTGGACACAAGAAAACTAGGGTATGTCTATCAAGACGTGGCAACTCCATGGCTCAACTCTCGTCCCACGCCGCGGCGGCCCTCGAGGATTCTGAGCAATGCAAAGAAGCTAGTGGAAGCCAACGCGGCCGACGCGACGCCGGCGCCGGAAGACGTTTTTCCGGCGACGCTTGACAAAGCGGTGAGAGTGATGGTAAGAAGGCCTACCAGGAAGCGAAGCAAGAAGCAGAAGGAGGAAAAAGAAGAGATTCTGGTGATCGAAGGAATAGAGTTGGACAGGGATGTCTTCGCAAAGTTTGACGTTCTGATCAACGACGAACACGACGAGGCTGAGATTACGGCGCAGAACACGGAGTTCGTCGGGAGCTTCGTGAACGTGCCGCATCCACGAGACCATAAGCAGGGGAAGGTAATGAAGATCAAGACGAAGCTGAGGTTGGCAATAACTGAGGTGCTGGAGGACTTGGATTCTGAAGACGATGAACAGTTGTTGGTGACTTTGGTTCCAAGGAAAGGGTCTGGCGCGGTGAAGATTGGTGGTGTCAAGATTGTTCTTGAGGATTAATAATAAAAGAACCTCTCTTTCTGCCTCAAGAAATTAAACCAGGATTCTTTTTTGAGTGTTTCTTCATTTGGTGGCTTCTGGCCTTTGAAACTCTGAGTTTTTGACGGAGCTTCGTTTTTTAGTCAGGGGTTTCCTATTTTCTTTTGTTTGTTTTTTAAATCTCATAATAAAGTCCAATGCCGATTCAGATACCAACCATTGAAGAAAGTTGCAGTAGTTTCAAAGATCTAAAGCTTAAGGATTCTGCCATATCTGAAGGAAGAAGTGGTTTGATGCTTGTGGATCTCAAGAGGTGTACTGCTGCTTATCTTTTCTTTTGTGTTCTATCCGTTTTTTTGTGTGTTTTTCTCTTGTTTGTGTGACGAGTTTGTTTTCCTCTTGTTTCTTTTGGCAAGTTTGTTTTCATCTCTTTTCCTTTGGCGAGTTCTTTTCTTCAAGTGTGAAACATATAAGTTGGTCATGACGATTGTGAACTTCATCTTGGGTGACAAAGATGACAATGTAAAAGAGCATCTGCATCTCAGCTCGATGGATATATTGTCGACTGATGGAAAACATATATATACTCAGGTGGTGTGTAAGAATTTTCAACCAAAGTTAGTCTTGACTACGTTTGATCAATTTTTCAATGATATTAAAGAAGCGTTAAATTTATCTAACGAATTCAGCTTCAAATTTGTGAAACATTCTGCGATTCAAGTTCTTTGTAGCATTGCTAGGGAAGTTGTTTCTATTTGACGGTAAGGAATGATATACCGTTTCACTAATACTATTTGTAATGGCTTAAACTTATGATTAAATGAATGAACTTCTTTATTTAAAAGAAAAAAAAAACTAATTAATTATATTTATGTTTACTACACAAATAATAAGCCATTTCATCTGGTTTATATGTGTACGTTTAATGATGCATTTGATCTTGGTTAAATATATACCTCTTTTTTCTTATTATTATATTTCAATTTTTATGAGTAACAACAAAATATAAGCAAAAACTTGTGTCAGAGTGTCCACTGGTTGGATAAAGATAAAATGTAATACTAATAAAGAATAAAATATTTATTATTTATATAGGAAAGTGCATGCAATACAAAAAATGTAATACTTTTAAAAGTATTACATTTTTCCTTGTATAAAATGTTTATTATTTATATAGGAAAATATAACACTTGCCAACATTACTTATAAAGAAAAATGTAATATTTTTGATGAAAAATGTAATACTTTTATTCAAAATGGTAAAAGTATTACATTTGTCCTCAAAAGTATTACATTTTCTCTTAAGTAATAACAAATACTTTATTCTTAATTAGTATTACATTTTTCAGTATAAGTATTACATTTTCATATTGATTCGATTCGATCGGTCTCACGGATAAAGATCTGGAGGCGGTCTCACACCAATGTGACTCTAAAATATATGATACATTTTTTTTACACATGAGAAAAGAAAAGGTAAATAAAAAAATTTATTGCAAAAAGCAGGATCACGCACTACTGAAAATTATGGAATTTCCGACCACCTGAAAGTGATCTTAAATCAAGTTGATACAAAAAAAGTGGTCGGAAATAGCAACAAAGATTTTTCCGGATACTAAAAGTGGTCGGAACAAGGCTTTCGACTTGATTTAAGATCACTTTCAGGTGGTCGGAAATTTCATAATTTCCAGTAGTGCCGTCACCTTAACAATATAATTATAAACATGGCGTGTAGTATACTCCTTCCATCACATTTTATGTGCATGATTTGGTTAGCAAGACTTGAATGAAGTTATTTTTAATTTTTTTTTCATAATGTTAAGTTAGTATTAGTATATAAAATTTATATATTTAAAAACTACACTAAAATACTATTAAATACAAAAATTAAATTTTAAAAAAATTAAAAGATACTAAAGAAAATAAATAAAAAAAGAAATAGTTAGTTTGACACATGAATAGTAGACATGACATGTAAAATGAGATAGAAAGACTAATAATTTTTAAGAATATATATTATTTATCATGCATTGATTATAATCAATATTTTTATTTTTTATTTTTATTCAATCCAGTATAGCAATACTAATAATAATAAATTATGGGGTAACATGAATCAAATTGGTCAGATAATTGACTGAGTGAATAGAACATAACTCTTATATACTAGAATATCACAAGTTTAATTTTTGACAACATTATCTTGATTGATCTCGGGGTAGCAAATAATTAATATGGTGGATAGAATTAATACAAATCTCCGCTGGCATTCTAAATTGAAGTTGAGGTTTATCTACTCACACTATCGAGTATTGACATCAAATTAAAAAAGAAATTAAATATGAAATTTAACTTGTAACCTCCAATTTGAAAGAGTCACAGTTATACTATTGACCACAAAATTTTTGACTAATACTCTGTAACTAAGTACATACAAATAAAAAAAACGTATGTACAAATAAAACAAAAATGCATTAAAGAATCATGGACTCATTGGAGGAGTTGACGATGATTGGCGCAATTGGTTAACATTTTGTTCAACTCAATAAGTTATCACCTTTTTATTTTTATTTTTATTTTATTTTTAGACCACTTCATAATTCATATGTACCAAATTTGAGGTATTAGCCCAAGTCTTACGTACTCTTTACGTGGGACTGGGACTAATATTGTTTGTTGTTGTTTTTTGTTTTTGGTCTTTTTTTTTTTTTTTTTCTCTCTCTCTTTATTAATGTGTTATTAAATAAAATGGGCTAATTCTTAACTAAACTACTATTGATGTTTTGAAAAATGAATATATATCACCAAACAATCATTACTTTTTTCTTCTCTTTTATTTGATCTATGACCAACCAAATTGACATCCTATAAGTTTTCTTTGATTTTGTCAATATCAAAACCTCTCCTTCACAAATCACAATTTCCCTCGGGTTACACGGTATCACTTCTTCACGTCATCTTTGGAATTCAACGCATGCAACAATAGCAATTCGTGCATTTCGTGCTTATCTAATGAATCTTTCATATTGTTACGGTGTTACCTTCAGCTGGATATGATGATGATATGTAAATTAGCAATTCTGTGTGAATCAACTTCTTTGGTTGACCAAATCTTACATCTGGGGCTTGAAAAGTCGGAGTTTTGCCTACTAAATTCAACATTATTTTATTTTTCAAACCCACAATTATATCGGCTTATTTGGTTAATTCTCATAAAGATCCATTAGTCATGGATGAAGAATATGACAACTTAACGTACTTATGAATAATATTTGAAAGAATGAGTTTATGCGATAACTTTTCTTATATCGCTTTCACTAAACCCGAACCCACAACCTCTCATATGAATGAATAACTTGGTACGTGCCACTAGACCATAAAATCCTGGCAGGAAAATACATATTTATTCTTTTATATGTTATCATCTATTTTTTTTTAGTACTATCGACTCTATTGCCAGTATAGTATCATCTATTTAATTGTATTATTAGAGATATTTATAATTAATTAGTTAACATTACTTAGTATATTTTAAAATGGGAAAATGACACTTTTTCCCTCTGTGTTATATGCTTATAGCACTTTTTCCCCCTAAGTTATTCATGCATCCACATTTGCCCCCTCAATTATTATAAAAGTGGCAGTTCCCCCCCCCCCCCCCCCCCCCCCCCCCGATAATATTAAATGGACATTTCTACCCTTAAAATAAATATTTTATTTATTTATCTTCTTCAACAAATTATTGCTTATACCTAGGGATGACCACGGTTCGGTTCGAACTGAACTGAACACTATAGCAATCAAAAATAAAAAAATTTCGGTTATAATCCACAACTACTAGTAATAGCTTAAAATTAGAATTATAATATTTACAAATAGTGTATGTTTTTTTTTTTTTTTTCACATTTATATTAACTTTCACATATAAGTATATATAATCGCGATTTGGTTTTTATTTTGAATCGTCGGTTCACGATTTCGGATCCAATTTGAACTGTTAGTTCAAACTTTATTTTAAAATTTTATTTTTTATTTTTAAAGTATTCGAAAAATTCAAAAATTAATGTATTTTATTTTTTCAAATCGTGGTTATAATTTGTTGGAAAAGAAAAATAAATGAAATATTTATTTTAAGGGTAAATATATCCATTTAATATATTAGGGGGGAAAAACTGTCACTTAAATAATTTAGGGGGGAAAAGTGCTATAAGTATATAACACAAGGGAAACAGTGTCATTTTCCCTTTTAAAATTATATGAAATAAGGGTTAAATATGTCATTGCATCACTCAGGCAACTTTAATTATGTCACCTAACTTTAAAAAAATTGCAATTGACTCTTGAACAATCTAAAATCATACAATTAAATTTAAAGAAGTCTTCAAGAAGTTATTATTAATTGGTTGTCTCACCTTATTTCAAGGAGTCTTCATGCAACCAACTTATTGTCAAGAGTCCTATTTTCCCTATATAAAGAGGCCTGAAACATCCAAGCAAGGGGTTGTTTATTCCATAGACTATTGGTTTAGAACCTGCTCGAATGTTGATTTCAGTAATTCTATCAACTCAGGAAATGATAAGATTGGATTTGGTGTGGATGATTAGACCATAGTGTGTATGGAAAATCAATTCAACCATTTGTAATCCCTGTGATCATTTAGCGAGGTTGGATTCACTTTTGAGTGGCCAGCATATGTAAGATAAAATTTTTAAACTATGTAAACATATCACACGTTCCTGATTCCTTTATTTATCTACTTTTTAATTATTTTTATATTTACAGAGGTCGTAGTTCAAATAATTAATTTGTCTAAAATTGAGTAGGAACAGATTAAGTTCTTGCATTCAAGACTCATGATTTTACAAAAATAATATATATGTAGTTGTAAATACTCCATATATATATATATATATATATATATATTCCTTAAATATGCATCATCTTTATAAGGAGAAAACACACCTAAAACTAGAAAATACTCTCCTGTAGCCTTTAGGTGCTACATTATATGTTAAAAGACGTACGTGGAAAATGAAGCCCCACATGCATAAATACTATACCCCTAGTAATGCTGGGGTTAAGCCAAAATGGAAACACAAGTAGTATGCACTTATTATATCATATCACATGCATGGTCAAGAAGCAGTACGTGAAAATGCGTCAGCTAGCTACGACAGTGATTTAAGGTTGAGGGTCCGTCTCGATCTCACGCGCCACTTCTCTTGTCAACTTGTCTGCACGCTCGTCATGTCCACCGGCGAATGTATAAACTCTGTATGCAAACTGGAAGGCCTTCCAAAGTAGTTTCCCGGCGGATTCCCCCTTCCGGCGGTGGCCTTCTTTGCAGGGTGAGTTTGAACCTGCCGCCGCCACCTCTCTTTCCTTCACTTCTCTCGTCTCCTTGAGTGCGAGCTCCATGCAGTTTGATGAAACGTCCACCATCAACTCTTTTATGCGAATGAGGATGGAGAAATCGAAAGTGATTTTATGGTTTGCAAGTTTCTTGGCTTCTTCATCTTTGGTCTGTTCTAGCTTGTCCAAATCCAGCTTTATCTGGAAAAAAGAAAGGTATTAATCCATGCCATGGGGATGAAGACGACATGAATTGAAGCCAATTATATATGGGTTTACCTTGCTGAAATAATTCTCAGCTTTCTGAAGAAGTTGGTTGACAGGTGAGACTATTGGCCAGTTCTGCAGTGTAGAGGCCATGGCATCTAGCTTGGAATGCAGTGTTGCTGCCATCCTCAATGCCTCCAGCTTTTTTGTGGGAAAATCTTCAAACCTTGCTAGCACCTGCGCTGGGAAAGGTTAAAAACTGCAATTATAAAGTGGTTTTAATTCGAGGATGCATGCATGGGACTATGGGAGTAATATATAGTTGAAGGAATTAAAATGTCTGTTGACCTGAGATTCATCGGTTAGTTTTTCCAGGTGGGATTCCACATGTTTGTGGAATTTAATGAGCTCAGACGTGTCTGCTGTCTGGAAAGTTGCTATAGATGTTTTCAACTCCATGATTGCTGTTGCATGGTTCTTAACATCCTCTTGAATCTGTTGGAAATATGCTGACCTGAGAAATGTAAAACAATTATATTCAAAAACAGGAAGAACCAAATACCTATTGAAATTGACAAATACCTCAGCCAAGTTGGTCAGACTATAAACCAGTCCACTATGAACAACATAAACTATGATTAATCTATGATGGTCTGATCTTTTAGTGGCTAAGGTCAAAGATTGGTTTAATTCACTTTACCTTTTTGTCATCTCTGCTAGAGCATCAGCCATTCCCTGTTTGCCTCCAGATCCTGCACCAACCTTACCCTTTCTCCCAGATTTGCCGTCTAAACTGGAACCTTCCACTTTTACCTTGAGAAGCCGGTACAGATTCCCCATTTGCGACGATCTCTTCAATTTAGTAGATTTCTTGGTGCGTAGGTTTCTGGCGCCAGGCGATCCAGGAGGCGGAGGAGGTCCTGAAGCTCCTCCTTTTGCCATTGGCCCTGGCGGAGGAGGTGGTGAAGCTCCGTTTGCCGTTGGCGTTGGCGGAGGAGGTGGCGGCGCCGCCATGTTAGAACATGGCGGTGGAGGAGGAGGCGGCGGCGGTGGCAGTACTACTTCCAATTTCACTGCAGAATTATCCAGTTTTTCCTCAGTCTTGGCTTCTTCTACTACTACTACTACTTCTTCTTCTTCCATAAATGTGGTGTTTTCATTAACCACATAATTGGGTTCCTTGGGCGCTACATGAGAGACCATTTCGAACGACAGGCGCTTTAAATCAATGGGTTTAAGTTTCCCCCCCAGTGCTTCAACTCTGAGTGGCATAAAAAACGAGGAGGAAGAGTGAGCCTTTATACCCATCTCAGGAAGCACTGAAGTTGGGGTGTTTGGGGAAGAAGAAGAAAGAGAGGATCTGATATCCAAACAAGAATCAAACAAAGCTTCCTCCTCGGATGCCGCATTCGACGAATCGCTGTCATCACCATCTTCATCTGACATATCGAACACCCTTTCACTCGCTACCTTAACAATCTCTTCCAGCAATCCCAGTGCTGATAATGAATCAGAAAACTTATCATCATCAACGCCAAATTAAAAGAACACGAAAACCATTGGCTTTATCTTGGTTTAATGAGGATATATATATATACAACCTAACATAGTAACATTACCATATAGTTCCAGGTTGGGCAGATCATCTCTGCGATTATCCATCCATTCCTCATCGTGTGTCCACATTTTCCCAATCGAATCGAGAGCATCACAGAAGAAATTCAGTTCCTGCACCATGAAACTCCCATGTTGATCAAATGCCAAAATGTTTTTACCTCTAATGCTAAATCCATTGGACATATATATATAGGATTCGGATTAAATGAGAACTACCCTTTCTGGTATGCATTCTCAGATAATTGATTGTGTATCTGGAAACACACATTTTTGTAATTATAATTGTATATCATGTAATGTTCTATTTATTATGCATTTTAGTAATTTTTCTGTAATTACACTTGTAAGTCTTGTAATGTCTGATTGTATAACGCACAAGAGGGATATTTTTCTTTTGATATATATAACAAAACCTGGTTTGTTTGTGCTTTTTCAATCTCTGAATTACTAATTATTCTTGGCTTGATGGAAGGATACAGTTTGTACAGATCCTTCAGGGTCAACACCAACAACTGCAAAATTAATGTAGCAATATTAAAGCAGAACGAAAAATGTGTTCTGTCTCAACTAAAAGATTAAACCGAAGATACCTGGTTTACAGAAGCAGAACCAATGCAAGGAGATAAATCCAGCAAGTCTCTGAAGGTAAGAATCTTGTTCCTAAGCTCTGTCATGATTATGAAGTTGGCTGCTTCCACAGGCGACCTGCGAACTTTGGAGCCCTTCTTAACCTTTTTGCTACTCTTTTTTGTCGACACAACTTTTGTTCTCTTCTCCAAAAACACATCCTCGTCCTGTCAAAATGCATGTGTTTCCCATCATATCATATATATATAACACAATGATCGAGAAATTAAAGGAATGTAATTAAGATACATTGAATTGAATTAAGTATGAAAAATAAATAATATATACCCTCTCTTTGGATGCAGAAAACCTGGTAGGAAATATGAGTGGAGGCACACCACCTAGAACCTCATGTCCCATCATCAATCTGGAAATTAAAACAACTTTTAAAACCCCAACAACAGGATTAAAAAATCTGGGTACGCAAAATAAATAATGTTTTCTCAAACCTGGTCAACTTTCTTGGTTCTGGGTCAAAGATTGCTGATGGCCATTGCAGGCAGGAATAATAATATGATAATTATAGTAATTATAGAGAAATTAGGGATTATATTATGATATGATAAGCCGATGAAACGTTAACATTTAAATTTATAATAATAATATATAAATTTCTTGACAGAGAGAAAATCCATAATAGAAAATGGAAAATTTTCAGAACGTGCAGCCCAGTGATGCATATCTCTGGGAAGGGGATTTTGATTAAACATTGTTTTGTCTGATTCTTGAACATGGATATGGGACACCTCTTCTTCTTCGTCCCCTTCAACCCTTAACTTTCTCTACATTGTTCCCATTCGGCCAAAAGGGGGAGGGAAGAGAGCCAATTACAGAAATGAGTTCAGTGCATCTTTTAGGACAAAGCCGTGTATGTAGATGCTTGTTTTTCGGGGGGTTTAATGTTTTTCTTTTCTCATAATCACTATTTTTCTCTTTACCAAAAAAAAAAATTTAATAATAATCACTATTTTTCTTTTCTATTACGTTTATATATACTAGCCCTATTATGTTCTGCGCCCGAATAAGATAAGTAGTCAATGTTAAAATTCATATTATATTTTGAAATAATTTGAAAGTGTAATAGTACAAGAAAAAAAAATTAAGATTAATATCTAAAAACATAATAAGTCTCCACCCAGGTTAAATTGCTTATTTATTTCTATTTATTTGTTAAATATTTTTTACATTATATATATTATAAGAGTTGTATTATATATTTTTTTTTTAGACAAAAATATTCCTACCTTTATAATTTTGTTATCTTTTTTTTCCCATAATTATTATCATGCACATATACATTCACAATATTTTTCCGTATGTTTGTCAATGATAATAATATATATAGACATGCTATTATATAAGAAATAAGTTTGATTTTATTAGATTTTAATTAAATATTACCATAATTATATTTTATATTTATCATATATAAAATTATTACTTTTTTTTTTTGAAAAATATAAAAATTATTACTTAATTGTATAATCAATTGATGATACCATAATTAGTACTCAACTTATCAACTACATTTTTAATTATTGCTCTGGAGTGCTTTTAAACGAAATTAATTACTACGATATTATTTATAGCGGTAAGATTGTAATTATGGTATGATTTTAATATTTTTATTTATATTGAAAAGGATTCGATTTGTATTAAAACGAGAAATAACATTTGGTAAATATGGTAAAGAGCAAATACCAATTTTGGTCCCACGAGTATTAGCAAAATGACAATTTTAGTCAACATGTTTAATTCCTACCAATTTTCATCCTCGACTATTACTTTAGTACCAATTTTCATCCACGACTATTGTTTTAATGCCAAAATTCATCACGCCAATCACACATTTGTTTAAAACATGTCGAAATATGAAATTATTAAGGGTATTTTCGTCTGTTTAAAATTAAGATCCCAATTTGAGCATGAATAAAAAGATTTAAGCCCTAAGATCTATCGCGATTCGCAATTTTTCTCCTCAAATTAAAGTAGGATGATGAGGAGAACTGCCAATTGGGATTGATCTTAGGGCTTACATCCCTTTATTCATGCTCAAATTAGAGTCTTAAGTTGAAAATGACGAAAATGCCCTTAAAATTTTTAGATTTCGACATGTCTTGGATGGAGGGGTGACCGACGTGATGAATTTTGGTACTAAAATAATAGTCGTGGATGAAAATTGGTACTAAAACAATAGTCGTGGGATGAAAATTGGTAGAAATTAAACATGTGGACCAAAACCGTCATTTTGCCAATACTCGTGGGACCAAAACTGGTATTTGCTCATATGGTAAATGACTTATGACTAATATTGTGACTAATATTTTTGGTTCAAGATGGAAGATTAGGTACATAATTTATTTGTAATAGTAATGTCAAATAAGTTGTATCGTGTTGATCCAGCCCATGCTTAACTGTTATCTATAATATTGATGCCATCATTTTTTACCTTGTATGTAAAAGGAATCTAAATCGCTTCATTTTTAGCCTACAAACTTAATTTAAAAAAAAAATGAAAAAAGTAATGTGAGCTTAAGCCGGGATTGTCACATTACATTATTTACATAGAATATGGCCTCGCATGATCTGTATATAGGATCGTGGCGTATTGACCCAAGTATAATAGGATATAGTTATGTCTGATCTGTTGCGGTTGATGCTGATTCATTTAGACCTAACTTAAATTGTCATCTCTAGTTTATAATAATAATGATGTATAAGTAGATAAAGTAATTTGACATGACTATGTAATATAAACTAACTAGATTTCAATGGTGTAAAGTTAATTTTACCCGATTTTTTTTTTTTTTTTTTTTTGGGACAAAAATACAATATTTATAACATATATATTTTTACAGTTTATATAATTACAACTTTTAGCTCAAATGGGCTCCATCACTTGATTAATAATCCTAGCCCAATAATCCTTTTATTTAGGCCCAACACATAACATTGGTCATTTACCGACTCTTACTGCTGCTTGGGCCTATAATGCAACATGGAAATTATGTGGGCCATTAGCCCAACATTTTGTTACGGCAATGACCCAGTTTTTGTTGATACAATCGTTATATGGGGCAAATTATTTTGTGGACCCGATCCACATTGCAAGGTAGACTCGGATTTAAAAATACACAATTTATGTACAGTCGTACAGAGTAGTCTCAGTTTGCATACTGAATGTTCTCAATTTACATACTGAATGTTCACAATTTACATATTAAATGTTCACAATTTTTATATACTAGATGTTCACGATTTACATATACTAAATGTTCACAATTTGAATTGTGAACATTCAGTATATAAATTGTGTATTTTGACCTAGGTCCTTGCAAGGTGGACCTGGGTCTATGGCATAATTGTCGGTTATATGGTGAACCATGGTGATAAGTTACATATATATATATATATATATATATATATATATATATATATATATATATATATATATATATATATATATTCAAATGAACATATAGTAAAAAATAATTAAATTAATACTTTAGTGTTACAGTAATAAACCTATTGTGTGCATAAAATAAAATTGAATAACTGAGATATGAAATATAATTAAAATGATACTTCAACGTTAATATAATGAAACTAGTGTGTATAAAAACTTAAACTAAAACAGATCTCATACCATGGTCAATACTGCTACATAAATCATGGTCTACAATAAAATTTGGCTTCAGTAAATTACCATAGTAACCATAATCGGTTAGGTTACTTGCTGGTACCCTAACCATAGTTACCCTGCCAATCTTATTTCTAAAGTTTATTCTATAATAAAAATGAAAACTTCTTAATGGCTTAAACACTTTTGGATAAAATTATATTTTGAATTACTTGGATCAAATATCATAAATGTATAAATGGCCAAATGGGACATTAGGACCTCTCATTCTTTGGATTTTGAAAGATAGCCCACACAGAATTAAAACTTTTATGTTAACTCTTACTTAAATGATTTTATAATTTGTCATAAATGTCAACAATCATAATAATCATGTTATAAAATGTGATGCATATGAATATTGAAAAGTAGTGCAATGGAATAATACCAAACAGGATTACGTGCCGTTCACGTGCTGAGAACTTTAAATATGTAAGGTGTGGGGCTGCTATTCAATTCAGATCGAGGCAACTTCCACATAACATCCTCTTAAAAAATTGAAATTCTTAACCTTTTTTTTTTTAAAGTTGAAATTGTTAACCTATTGTAAGGGAAAGTATACAATTGTTATTATCTAAAAATGAAGTGATGTGATTTTATAATAATTGACCAATTTAAACTAAAAATACAAAATAAAGATCAAATAAACTCATGAACTATTCATGAAAGTGTAATTAAGCCCTCGAATAAAAAAATATTCAATTAGATACTTGAACTTAGAAAAAAATAGATGCAATTAACCCTTTTGACATGTTATTACAAGTAACCTCCACATTATACGTTAAAGGTGATTGGAATATGTTTTGATGACTTAAATACGAAATTCACATAATAATAATAATAACAATAATAACAACAACAACAACAACAACAACAACAATTTATTAATTAAAATATTAATATTTAAAAAAAAAACAAAACTTGGTTGGCGATGCCATGACGGTTGGCAGCCAAGTTCTTTTTATTCCCGTAGCTTCCACATAAAGTTGAACTTAGAATCTTGTGATTATCAAAGTCAATTGTATAACCAATTCAATTAGAATTTCCTACCATTATTATACTCCTCAGTCATATTTTACATGTCTTGTTTAATATTCATTGGTTAGATTAACTCTTTAAAAAAAAAAAAAAACAAAAAAAATTCCTTTAGTATTTTTTTTAAAAATTATTTTTATATTTGTTTGTATTTAATAATATTTTAAATGTAATTTCTAAATATATAAATTTCATATATTAATAATCTTTTTTGAATATATTAATTTCATATATTAATAATCTAATATATACTAAATTTAACATTATGAAAAATTGATATAAAAATAATTTTAATCAAATCTTATTAATCAATTTAGATAATTAAATGAGATGGAGGGAATACTAATTATCATGAAATGACAACCGAAAAGTGAAGCTTCCATAGTGCCATCAGCAGCCAATGAAATCACGAGTACAGTTTAAATAAAGGTCAAGAATCAATATATTTTGGAACGACAAGACAATAGGTTCCAGACAATATTAGTAAGGTTGGATGGTCCAACATGGACTTGGAATTTGGAATTGTACGTATCCAATAACAAGAATATGATTCATGAAATCACGACGTGATTATACAAAAGTGGGACCAAAATGGTAGCCTCTATTTTACTATAAACACATCCTTCCTCTTTAACCTATCCACCACAAAACTAAAGCAACCTATTTATTAGTCTATCATACAAACCATTACATTTTTGTTTACAACAATAATTCAATAAAAATGGCAAACTTCCCAGTTATCAACATGGAAAAGCTTAATGGCGTGGAACATAGAGTGATTGCACAAGCAAACATATACAATGGATTTGAAGACGATCAACAAGTAGTGGTCTCTGACATGTTTAAATATTTTTCTTTTGAATTAATTAATAAACAAGTTCTTTGTTATAAGAGCAAGACCTTACCGTGTAAACAAAATAAATTTGATTTAGTCTATAAGGTTAGGTCGAATTCTTTTTTCAAGGTGACTATAAAATTTTATAACTTATTCAATTACATATTTTTCATTTTTAGTGTCAAGTTTTTAAAATTCTCTTATAATATATTGTATTTGTCTCGCTTTTGACTAAGTTTATTTTTTGTACATATACCATTGTCAAACGTATTCTACCAATTACAGT